AATATTAATATTAAAATTCAGTTGATGCTGTGTGTACTTTTAAACATACATATTAAAATATCCCTAGTTTACAACAATTTGAAACATGAATAAATAGAATATGTTGAATCCTCAACTACCAGCAGTTCAGTTCACAAAACATTCTTTTTTCTCAGTTGTTTAAACTGTCTTGCTTGGTGCATATCCACCATTACTTGTCAGTTAAAAACTTAATTGTTTATCATGCATACCAGGACAAATCTATATGCAAATATATTTAAAATGTAGAATTACTAGTGACATTGAAGCAAAAGAAAAGCAGCAAAATGTAGTAGGTTTTTTGGGAGAGTTTCTCCCAGTTATTTTTGACTGTTTCTTAACGACTAAACAACAACAAAATTTTTGACTGTTTAAAACTCTAGATGGCAGGTTGCTGAAACTTGGGGATAATGTTTACAATTCTTCAGATGTCTGTGTCATAAAATGCCTACCTTGCAATCTAAATCCGTGAAGTCAGCCACAAACCATGCTTTGGGGCACTAAAATGGAAGTGTATGAAGAGTGAAGGCAGCAAATTTGTCATGCAGAAATCTGTAGAAATGTGTCAGATGTAATCTGCAGTGTGCTATGTACATTCCCAGAACAAAACTCAAAGCTTTAAATTCCTTGCAAGAAACAGAATCCTTACCTATACTTGAAATATAGTGTTTAAAGTAATAATGTGTTGTCCAAGTATTTTATGTGAAACAGGTTACCACAAGATTCATTGTTGCATTTGCAGTAACTGGAACTGTTTGTTACTGACCATTGGTTGAATGGGAAACTGATAATAAAATTGCAGTGAGAGAGGGAGAAATAAGTTGGTTGGGTGACTTGCATAATGAGGATATCTGACAAAATTGTTTAAATCATTACATTTCTAGCTTGTAAGCAGGTTGGTATTAATTCCTGTTGTATATTGCTAATAGCAAGATTCATTATTGAAATTAAGCCTATCCCAATTGCAGGAGTTATCAAAATAATAAGAAAAGATGACTGTAGTTAGCAGTGAAAAGACTTTCTTATTGACTGTTTCATTGATCCTAAGGACCAAGTGGTTCTCCTTCTTCCAAGGAGTTTAAATGTGTCTTTTTTTGTTCTGGGAATATATATGCAAACTGCTTCTGTAGATCATTGTTATCTATCTGCCATTTATTAATCGGTTCAGAAGTGAAATGACTTTATCAGGTTCTTTACAGACTCCTTGAGAACTTACGAGTATTAGCAATAGGATGTCATATTGGTTATAATGATGATTATTAAAAATTTCCTGTTGTTGACTTGTGACTTATGTGACAAACCATGGGGTTCAGGGAGTCCCGCTCTAAGCATTATTTTTATTTTATTTCTCTCTCTCTCTCTCTCTCTCTCTCTCTCTCTCTCTCTCTCTCTCTCTCTCTCTCTCTCTCTCTCTCTCTCTCTCTCTCTCTCTCTCTCTCTCTCTCTCTCACACACACACACACACACACACACTCATCTGGCTGAAGGCCCTCTGGGGAGTTCACAGTATAAAACAATAATAAACCACCAGAGGATAAAATCATAACAATAAACTGTACAAAAACCATTATAACAATAATTAAACAATTTAGAATGGATTCTGAAATAACGAGTACATTTAAACTGCCGGTAGTCAAGCATCATTATAGGCTGTTAACTGCAGTTTTAAAGGTATCACCTGTTCCGGTATTTATGCAGTTTAAGTAGGCTTCATAGATCATGTACAGTGGTGCCCCGTATAGCGAGGTTAATCCGTTCCGGATTAACCTTCGCTATACGAAAACATCGCTGTGCGGGCAAGGAACGCCTATTGGAACGCATTAAACTTAGTTTAATGCGATCCAATAAGCGTCCAAACTTACCC